AATATTGTAATCTCAACCATCGAGGCCACCGAATTGACCAAGATGAGTTGGACCACCTTCAAGGAAAAAGTAATGGAAGAGTATTGCAACGAGCAGGAGATGGACCGCATAGAGGAAGAGTTTCGAACCTTAAAAAAAGGAAATCTGACGGTAAGAGATTACACTCGACTCTTTATGGAAAAGCTAAACTTGGTGGGGCATGTGGCTCCAACGAAGAAGGACAAGATGAAAGCCTACCTTAAAGGGCTACCTGCTGATATGATGGTAATAGTTAGGAATTCAAGAGCATCCACCCTCAAGGAGGCAATAGAAGAAGCCAAGGTCTTTGAATCAGTTTATGCTAAGAGAAGGGATGAGAGAATGTCGAGTGGGGAGAAGAGGAAGTGGGAAGGGCCCTCTTCACCCTCCAAAAGACCAAATCACTTTGGCAACAGCAATCGCGGGACCCATCTCAATCAAGAGTCAAGATGGTGTCCCAAATGTCGCAGCAAACATCACGGCCCGTGTTGCACCAACCCTACCCCCACTAAATGCTTTAAGTGTGGGAAGACGGGCCACGCTCAAAATGAGTGTCCAATCAGGGGACCCATATGTTTTGGATGCGGAGAGCCAGGTCACTTCAGAAATGATTGCCCGAAGTTGAAGGCGGGAGGGGGTCAGATAAGAAAAGAAAATGCTCCGAGAGCAGTCGGCCGAGCCTTTCAGATGACAGCGGAAGAAGCTAAAGCATCGACGGATGTAGTGTCGGGTACGTTCCTTGTTAACTTCGTACCTGCGCATGTACTTTTCGATTCGGGTGCTTCATGTTCTTTTGTGTCCAATGCATTTTATCAATATTTGCGCATACCCTCTAGTACTCTAGAAGAAGCCTTGATCGTAGAATTAGCAAACGGCAGTAGGGTTTTGGTGCGCGAGGTTGTTAGGACTTGCGTGTTGGGAATCGAGGGAAAGGAATTTCGGGTGGACCTTATGCCCATGACTATCGGCGGTTTTGACATCATAATTGGGATGGACTGGTTGGCGAAGAACCAAGCAGAAATTGTATGTTCTAAGAAGTTGATCTAAATTCCTTTACCTGATGGGAATGCAGTGCTAGTTCACAGAGAAAGAAAGCAGGAAGGGGTAATACTCCTATCAGTTGCGAAGACGCGCAAATGCTTAGCTAAAGGGTGTCTCTCGTTCATCGCTTACGTGTTGGATACCAAACTAGAGAAAAGAGTAATTGAAGAGGTGAAGGTGGTCAATGAATATCTCGACGTATTTCCTGAGGACTTACCCGGTCTACCCCCCGATAGGCAGGTAGAGTTCCAAATTGACCTTGTTCCAGGAACCGCTCCAATTGCTAGAGCCCCTTACCGTTTGGCCCCTTCTGAGATGCAAAAGTTGATGTCTCAATTGCAAGACCTTCTTGAGAGAGGATTTATTAGACCGAGTTCGTCACCGTGGGGAGCCCCAGTCTTCTTTGTAAAGAAGAAGGACGGCACCATGCGGATGTGCATTGATTACAGAGAACTCAATAAGGCAACCGTGAAGAACAAATATCCTCTTCCTAGAATCGACGATCTTTTTGATCAACTTCAAGGAGCATGTTGCTTCTCAAAGATCGACCTTCGTTCGGGGTATCACCAAGTGCGAGTAAGGGAAGATGATGTGATGAAAACTGCTTTTAGAACTCGTTACGGGCACTATGAATTCTTGGTTATGCCTTTCGGTTTGACGAATGCACCAGCAGTATTCATGGACTTGATGAACCGAGTATGCAGACCTTTCCTTGATAAGTCAATGATAGTGTTCATTGATGACATACTCATCTATTCCAAGAACGAATCGGATCATGAGCAGCACCTTCGTGAAGTTCTCGAAGTGTTAAGAGAAGAGAAATTGTATGCAAAATTCTCCAAGTGCGACTTTTGGCTAAAAGAAGTCCAGTTCTTGGGTCACGTTATCACTCGAGATGGGGTGAAGGTGGACCCATCCAAAATTGAGGCAATGATGAACTGGGAACCACCAAGGAGCCCATCGGAGATTCAAAGTTTCTTGGGTTTGGCAGGTTATTACAGAAGATTTATCCAAGACTTCTCCAAGATTGCTTCTTCCTTAACGGCGTTGACTAGGAAGAATGTGAAGTTCATCTGGACGGAGAAGCAAGAAAGTGCTTTTAGAACTCTCCAAAGGAAACTATGTGAAGCCCCGATTCTCACCTTGCCAGAAGGGTTCGAAGATTTTGTAGTCTTCAGCGACGCTTCGAAAATGGGGTTGGGTTGCGTCTTAATGCAAAGAGGAAGGGTGATAGCATACGCATCAAGACAACTCAAGGACCACAAGAAGAATTATCCCACCCATGACTTAAAGCTAGCAGCAGTGATGTTCGCCTTAAAACTTTGGCGACATTACCTCTATGGCACCAAGTGCACGCTTTTCACTGATCACAAAAATTTGAAGTACATCTTTGATCAAAAAGAACTAAACATGAGGCAACGGCGTTGGCTTGAACTACTCAAAGACTACGATTGTGAGTTGCTGTACCACCCGGGTAAGGCGAATGTAGTGGCGGATGCCTTGAGCCGAAAGGAGTACAGTAGTGGGACGAAAGCCGTGCTTACCAGGATCGATGTGATGTCCAGTCTGATCGATCGGATCAGGGTAGCACAGTCTGAAGCACTTTTGGAGGAAAATCTCAAGAGCGAGGTTATGGTGAAACAACCCATACATCTTACGGAGGATGGTCGTGGCTTGAAGTTGTTTCAAGGTCGTATATGGGTACCTAAGGTTGGGGGAAATCGTGAACTGTTGCTAGAAGATGCGCACAAGTCTAAATACTCCATTCACACGGGTAGCACCAAGATGTACCGAGATTTGAAATTGACATATTGGTGGCCTGTTATGAAGCTGGATGTGGCTCGTTACGTAGAGAGGTGCGTGACATGTTTACAAGTGAAAGCAGAGCACCAACAACCTTATGGTAGTCTCCAATCCTTGGGGATTCCCGAATGGAAGTGGGAACATATCACGATGGACTTTGTGACCAAACTACCGAAGACCTTAAGAAACCATGATACGATTTGGGTAGTGGTTGATCGACTGACAAAGAGTGCTCACTTCTTCGCAATGCGTGAAACGTTGCCCATGGAGAAGCTTGCCAAGTTATACATCGACGAAGTGGTCTCGAGACACGGTATACCGTTGTCAGTAGTATCGGATCGAGATAGCCGATTCACATCCCATTTCTGGAGCGGTTTACAGAAAGAGTTAGGAACAAGGGTAAAGTTGAGTACGGCTTACCATCCACAAACCGATGGTCAAAGTGAACGAACCATTCAAACCCTTGAAGACATGCTTAGGTCTTGTGTTATCGATTTTGGCGGAAATTGGGATTCTCACCTACCCCTGGTGGAGTTCGCCTACAACAATAGCTATCATTCCAGCATATGAATGGCACCTTTTGAGGCGTTGTACGGACGAAAATGTAGAACTCCAGTGTGTTGGCTAGAAGCGGGTGAGAAACAGTTTGCTGGTCCCGAGATTGTTCAGGAAACGGCCGAAAAGGTGAAGAGTATTCGGGAACGCTTAAAGGCGGCTCAAGATCGACAAAAGAGCTACGCAGACAAGGGAGCCGACCTATAGATTTCCAAGTGGGCGACCGTGTTATGCTTAAGGTATCCTCTTGGAAAGGCATTATCCATTTTGGAAAGCGTGGGAAGCTCAGCCCCCGTTATCTCGGACCATTTAAAGTTTTGGCTCGAGTAGGACTCCAAGCTTACAGATTAGAATTGCCACCTGAGATGGCCGGGATCCACAACACCTTTCATGTGTGTTACCTACGTAAGTGTTTGGCCGAAGAAGAAAGTGTAATACCACTTACGGAGATTCGTGTGGACGAGGACAACAGATGTGTCGAAGAACCGGAAGCCATCCTGGAAAGAAAGACCAAAGTACTAAGGCACAAAGAGGTTGTTTTGGTTAAAGTTCAATGGAAGCATCATCGAGGGTCTAACGTAACATGGGAAGCGGAGGAAGACTTGATTAGGCGTTACCCCCACCTTTTCTCTCGATCTTAAATTTCGAGGGCGAAATTCATCCCAAGGAGGGGAGGATTGTAACACCTAGAAATTCAATAATTTTTTTTTTCCTTTTGGTGGACCTTTGGTAAAGTATTGAATCATTTAAAAAAAAAAAGATAGGGAGAGGGAGTAGCTTAACTTTTGTCCTCCACCCTACCTTGTAG